ACACACTCTTGTGTGTTACAGCCTGCTCAGTGTTTTATAACTAAGGTGTCACTTTATTTTTAAGCTCATTTAATAAGACAAGTTGAACCAGAACAGACTCATTTGGAGCAGCATAGAAACACATACAGTACACACATGGATCACTGTGTAGAGCTATGGGCAGCTTCTGCACAACTTCTATAATTAATTAAAGTCCCACTCCAGAAACATTTTCATTTTTATATTTGTATATAAAAATACTTTACTATAAACAATATGCAGTCTAACACAGCTTTTCCTCAAAAAAATTTCAGTGGGCCTCTGTAATAGGAATGAACATTGCCCCTCATTGTGCATTCCAGGATCTATGAATGTTGCCGTCATCCCTTATGTGGATTTGAATAATTTTGCACGCCCAATTTTTCAGTTTTTTATTTGTTAGAAAAGTTTGAAATATCCAATAAATTTCGTTCCACTTCATGATTGTGTCCCACTTGTTGTTGATTCTTCACAAAAAATTACAGTTTTATATCTTTATGTTTGAAGCCTGAAATGTGGCAAAAGGTCGCAAAGTTCAAGGGGGCCGAATACTTTCGCAAGGCACTGTAAATGTTGGAAAATAAGAGTGTGTTTATGTTTGAAAAATAAAGGTGTGCATTTACGTTGGAAGCGGACAGCCGACAGCAGGTTCTGGTGGGCAGGGACTGTGTACAGACATTTCCTGTTTCGCAGCTCCCAAACCTTGCAGGTGTTATCACCACTTCCTGTTGCCAGGTGATACCTAAGAACAGAGAAAAACAAAATTTAATATGTAGAACATTCAGAATCATCTTGTTATATCAAATGAAATATAATGTTAATTTTATTTTCCTGTTCAAACTGAATCATTTGCTTATATGAAAAAATTAAAAGAATCTTGGTAAAGCGAGGAACACTTAAGATTTATCCTTTTTGTGGGATTTTCTGTCAGAAATGGGGAAAAATACAAAAAAGTAAGAACCATTTTAAAATATTTTATTTGATTTTGTTTCTGAAAATATTAAATTCTGTTTAAGTTTTTCATCTCTATTTTTCTTTCAACCTGCTCATCTCTCATTGGCCGTTTGGTTATTCTGCTCACTGACTGGCTGTTTTTTTTACATTGCTCACTTGCTCCGTTTTTAGCTCTACTCTGATTTGCTGACCCATTGGGGGAGAAGTGTAGGCTGTAAATCTCCTTGAGGTGTCCCTCCAGGAAGACAACGCAACGTCCCGTCCGCAGGTCCCATACCCTGCCAAACGCATCCAGTCCCCTGATTGGATGATAGTCCAAGGGGCGGGGTGACAAAGAGATGATTGGTCCAGTCAGGAAGCAGGGTGACAGAGAAAAAGAATTTAATTAAATTAGTTTGATTAGACTCCAATTATAGGAATAAAAATAAAGCATAAGCATAGACAGAGAAATACATTCAAACATGTTACAGTAGTACTAGTACTACTGTCAGATACTGCAAAACCACAGTGTAGTACAGAGTACCCAGTAGCAGCCAGGGATCCATCAGGGTGAAAGTGCAGGTCATGGACTCCTTTACTGTGACCTTCCTGATGGAGGATTTCCTCCTGAACCTCCAGGTCCCACAGACGCCATGAGTTATCGTAACTACAGACAGGTACACATATGCTGTATTAATACTGTGTGTGTGTGTACTAGTGGACAGAAACACTCTGATGCTGACAGCATAAAACCATCTTACCAAGTTGTTCCCAGGAACCTCCCAGAAGGATGCCATGACACCCGGGACACACGCTCACTGTGACCCTCAATGTCCGCCACTGGTTCATCACTATGGTAACCACAGACAATATATATTCATTAAAGGGGGGGGAACAATTTATTATTTTTCAGTTCTTTGGGTCCTTATGCCCTTGTCTACTTGCTTGCTTGTGTCCTACCTCTCTAGGTTCCATAACTTGACAGACCCGTCGGCAGCACACGACGCCAAACTGACATCTGACTGGTCGAGAGAGAGACCGACCTGTGGGCGGAACACAACCGCGCCCACATTGGTGTTGTGTCCTTCAACCAATCACAAAGCAAGGGCAGAGTCTCAGTTATAAAGGACATGTTCAAGTTAAATTGGCAAAATCCTTATTAAACCAGAAACCTTCTACATTTAGCATCATTTATATAGAGAACTGTCTGATGATGATTTTCCATTAAAGGGGCCTGCTCTTTGTAAATTGATTCACAGGTTAGTCCATAACTTTGTCAACAGTTTCACATGACCCCAGATCTGTTGTTCTTCCAAAGTCTGGTAGGACTTGTTGTCATAGCAACATGTCCATAATCTCAAACCTAATCGGGAGCAGGATAGTTTTCAGGCTTATTCAATGTAAACAACAGAAACTCTCAGAGTCTCTGAGTAGGAAGTGATTCCCTGACACTGGAGCGATTATAATCGGATATGAGTTTAGAGAAACTAGGCCCGGGAGACTGACAGGACCCTGTGGCCCATCCCAACCCGTTCAGTCTGCAGGGAATAATTTACTGCGATGGACTGTTAGCACCTCATATTAAGGGAAGACGAAGAGGAGCCGTGCACTGGCGTGAGGCTTCTCACAACCTGCAGTTTTTTATATTGGCTAGGGATGTGTTTTTTGTTTTATGGGTATATGTGGTACAGTAAACAAGATGTGGTGTGGTCTTAAATTTGAGTTTGCAACTAAGTTCATGACTTTTTGCGTCCACTTTGTTTACTGTATTTACAAGCCAATGTTCTCAATCATTACTTTCTCTCAACTTTGACAAGACGTCTTGTTTGCTTTTACTCTATTCAGAGACAACACATATCCTTTTCAATCTAATGAGCTGACACACAGGTAAACTTTTTTTAAGCGAAGCGGGATGGAACATTTGAGCATGAATGTGTTGTGATGTGTGGGTCTTACACAGAGGGAAGAGGAAAGAACCATCTTTGCTGACGCATGTATATCAAGAAAGTCAATTTCATCAAGGGCATAATTAAAGTATGAACAGCAAAACTGCAATTTAAAATCTTCAAAAACAAATAAAATGGAGGTCGAACTTTTCTCAAGCAGAAACATCACAACACACACTTTTTTTTTTTTTTTTTTTAAAGAGAAGCATTCTGGATTTTTGACTTTGGAAATTAATCTCCAGGAGGTATGAATGAAGCTTTTTCAATCAATCAATGAGCTCTTGTAGTGGGGTTTGTTTTTTTTGTGCTCATGGGCGACCTTTTGTCTTGAATGTGATTTATGACCATAAACTTAATTTATTAATGTGCACGTTTTTTTATTGGCCCACATGTATGAGTTTGTGTGTTTGCCGTTTCTGAAAAAAAATTTCTGTACTTCTGTCCAATTTATGGAACTTCTTGTGTGTTTGACAGATCCCTGATGAAGGCTTAGTGCCAAAACACCTTGGTCTTTTACCTATGCATTAACGTTACTCCGAACCCTGCAAGTGTTGCCAGACTTTTGGCTTTTCACTTGAATATTGAGACAAAGCTGTAGAGACAAATTGTAAAAATAATGTCAGCAGGGTTCAGGGTAAGACATGGCAGTGACACCAGTTTGTGCTGAGCCCAGGTTGTGCTGTACTTGCTCTGAACATAATGCACAGATTATACAAATCACACCATCGTATCAAAGCAATGGACAAGCAGTTGTGGCCACAAAAGGATTTAAATGGGATACGTATGCATTTAGTTTGTCTTTGTACCTCCATCTCTCCACCTCTCTGCTGTAGCAGAGTTATAACTAAACCGAGACCAACAGAAAGTAAACACTGTGGAAAAACAATGCAGGGCGGTTGGCGTCAACCCCGGAGGCTATGCTCTGTGATGGTTAAGGGAAGTATGGGGTGCTTCCACAGCGGAAATGCAGGAAATATAGAGTAGGTACTTTATTGATCCCACAGTGGGGAAATTTCTGGGAAATATATACAAATGCATAGTTACTGAAGAGCACACGCTTATCTCAGGTAATGGATTTCTAATCCACAGCGCAGGTGGGGGTCAAAGAACTGAAAATCCAGATAACCAGGGCTGACAGTAAAATCCAGGATTACTCATTTGATCTTGGATCTGTTCAGCAGTGTAGTGAGAACATCACCAGAGTCTGCAAGCTGACTCAATTAGCAACATGTATCTCCATTAAAAGCCACTTATACTTGAATTATGATAAAACTATTACAACAAAAGACCAATTTTTATAAAACAGATACAGTAACATTCTAATATATAACCTTGGATAATTAAAATAAGTTATTGTGTAAAGCTCAGCCCACCTCTCAGTGTACGAATCAGGTTGCAGTCGGGGACGGACCACAGCTTACACAGACCACTCCTGTCGGGGAGGACAGCACATTAGCATTAGCTGCACCATGACAGGAACAGGTTAACAGTAATCTAAAGACTAATACCCTTCTGTGGCTCGAGACATTAATGCTTTATTCGAATTCTGGTGCCAGTTGTTCTCATGGTAATGAGCTATATGCTAATGCTACATATCTATAGATAAATCAGTACTGACTGTATATACTGTAGATACTGCTCACTCTGCACTGCTGTTATTGTGCTTCTGATGCTAAACTGTACTTGTACAAGTGTAATAACAATACAGTTGAATCTAATCTAAAGGGTTAGGGTTAGGTGTGTTACCAGGAGGCCGTGGCCAGCATTTTAGAGTCAGGGCTGAAGTGGCAGAAGCTGATTGGTCGATCATCCCCAATCTGGCTGCAGAAGTTGTTCAGGTTCTGAAGAAGATGATGAAGAGGGCTGATAGACATCAGGCTGACAGGGCTTGTACCCCTCAAACAAAATGAGCATTTTACTTGTTTTATTATATAAATGTTTTATGAGCATCTGGACAAAACAAATGATGTTTCCAATACTCAAAAATCAAATGGACTGTTCCGTGGGTGGTACCCTGCCTCTCCAAAACAATGCAGCAAAATCCACTTATTACTTTTTGAGTTGTGCTGTGAACAAACCAACAACCAGTGGTAAAAAGTAATAAAAGTAATCTCACCCTCAGGCTCTTGTGCAGCTCTTGTTGCCGGATCGTCCTGGTTGCCTCGGCAACATCCCTCTGAGAACGTGCAGCCTCCAGACGCCTCATTGCCCTGATCAACCAATCACAGCAGGAGCTTGAAGTCGCAGCCAGTTAGATTGTTCTTATATTTCAGATTTCTGTGAAATTTGTCCTCTCTCTTTACAACCCGAACCCTATGGCTGTGTCTGAAATCACTCCTCAGTCACTACTGCCTATAAAATGAACACTCAATAATCAACAATAAATTCAGATTTACACTCTGATACTAAACTTGATCTTCAACAAAATCATGACGTGATCTGCAGGAAGAGTGGCTGATAATTCCTAAATCTAGTATCAAAAGACGTTTAGCTGTGATATCTGCAGGAGGGCAGTGCTGCTAAGAACTGACTTACAGTGTTGTCCAAACTCATGTATGTACGTAACACAATTTGCTTCTACTTCTTAAAGTTATTCTCCACAGGGAACTAAATCATATATAAAATCTGAGCCATTCGAGTCAAAACCAGTATAAAAGTCTGCTCTATACAGGATGATGACCATGAACACCAACTGAAAGCCCAGGCTGTTAGCTGCTGAGAAGACCTCACATCTTTGAAAACAGTGAATTTACCATCAGACAAAATTTTTACAAACTGACCATATAGTGGCATGGTTACATTCTCATCTGAGAAAAATATCTAAACTTAATAAAGTGACACACACCATAAATACAACAACCGACTCTGACTTGAACTCCAAGCTGCTGGCTGATGGGAAATGTATGCTGTCAGATGCACAGAGAGAGTCCTCTTCTTGAACCACAGTCAAATTCCTTGCGTGTCCAACACACCTGGCCAGTAAACATGATTTTAATTGGTCAGTTTGTTGCCAACTTACCGTGGCAGAGAGTATTTGGCCAACCAGAGCCGGGCATCCTTCAGGGAGGCGGAGCCTTCGTGATACCATGTCTGCTGGCACTGTGATTGGTCAGAAAGAGTTTCAGTTTGACTTTTAAAAAGTGACACAGGGATTTCATATTTCTTTAGGCCAACCCGGGAGTTAGCAGTACCCTGGCTCCCTCCACTAAAAGCCAGTGGGATTTTTTCACAGATTTTTGGGTTAAGGGGGGAAAAAAAAGCTCTGTGACAAACAGAACTTTATGATAGGGCTGGATCAGGTGACCCTGAGCCTTCCCTTAGCTATGCTGCTATAGGCCTAGGCTGCTGGGGGGCCCCATGATGCTCTGAGTTTCTCTTC